AAAAAAAAAAAAAAAAAAAAAAAAAAAAAAAAAGCCACTGGCATTTCTGAGGTTCATGGAGAGTCTAGCCGAGAATCTAAAAGCACATAATGCTCCTACAGCTCCGCGGCAGAGCTAGGCTCGTCTCTGATCTAAAGTCCACCGTTTCCGTTGCGCATCTTCCCACCCAGCGATCAACGGCTTGGGGAAAGGGTACCAAAATCACGACTTGGAGAATCATTCAACCCGGCTACGTCGGCTATTTGTGGCGTCAATGGCACGGAATTAGAGCCGTGCCATTAATCTCGGGTTTCCGAGCAGACGCGAGGAGTATGATCTATGCCTGGCCCAAGCGACGACGGGACTGCTCTTCTCCCGTACAGTATTGTAAACTTCAACGAGGCGTTCTGCATGATGGACTTGAGGAATCATATCTGGATCTGAATGGGCAATATCATCCAGTCACGAATCAGAAATTGAATACAGTGATGAGGTGATTTTGGATCCTGAAGCATTCGAGGTGGATCAATGACGGCATTGTATGGGGCCGTAATATGGGGTGTCGGGAGGAAGAAGCTTGAATCGGTCTAGGCCTTAGATTCGTTCAATGTCTCAAAACGAATTGGGGTCTCGGTTTTATCTCCAAGGACCTTCGGTTAGTCCAATGTTTATAATTTAAGAAGCTTTTGATGGGGCTAGGGGGAACTAGTACCAGCATGCCGGGATTGGTCGACCGCTTTTATCTTCGAGTTCCATGGATGGCCTGTGGCAACTATGAGCTTCGCAAAGGATGCCGACTTGGAAGCTTGTTGCATGATCGTCACCTTTCGCAAGCATTGGAGAACAGTGAGTAGGGGACCAAGTGGTGTTTCAGATGCGAGTGATGTCATCCCAAGAGGCCTCTAGATTCCGTCCATACCTGATCCAGTCAAGTTTCCAATAGATTGAAGATCCTATTCCTCTATTACACGTGTAAAGAAAGTGTGTTTGTGAGACGACAAGTACATGTACGGCAAATCCAAAGCATCTCTGTCTTTGACTCCCAAGGCGAATTAAGCTTCCACCATATCCACTGGCTAACCTTTTTTTGAAGCCTTGGGTAGCCAACGCGACTTGAGTATCTTGCAAGGTGCAAATCCCCGGGTCCCTAAACCTGGTGATATCATACTTCTCCCATTCGATAGTCCAACCTCCAAGGGTATTGGTGTCGTCACCCAGCAATGCTTGTTAGTCCCCCTTCGAGGTTGCCGTTTTCACTTAGACGTTGTTGGAAGTGTAGGTAGCTGGTTGCGCAGTAGCGGGCTGAGCAGGAACCTGGCCAGTAGTCTGTCCAGTAGTTTGTCCAGAAGGCTGGGTCATAGGCTGAGTTCCCGATCCACGGTTGTGCTTTTCTCTGCTACAAGTTTATCGTGTCGTCAGCATCTAGCCCAAAATAACTTGATCTCCCTGATATCCTCATAAAAACAAACCGAGGGGGGGAAAGTCACTTACCGAGAACCAACATATCCCTCTTGGTCCTTATTCCACGGGCCAGTCTTGTAGATACCCAAGAGGGCACTGCCGAGCCACATCATGCTACTAATGAAGGAAAAGGCAAGCAGAGCCCTCCACATCGAACAGCGGTTACCGTTCCAGGAGAACCTCCAAGTGAATCTGAACCAGAAGCCACCGCAGCTGGAAGCCAACTAGTGAGGCCGTGTTAGTAGCTAAAACATAGAAATTGAGGCCATATAAGAACTCACGCCGGCAAGAAGTCCAAAGGCAACCATCCACATGATAAACATGGCTGCATCAAACGGAAATGCCCAAAACGTATACCGGAACGGCGGCATCAGTACCAGGGAAAACACGATGCTGATGACGGCAATCGAAATCGTGTAGTTGATCCTTGCGAAACTGCCTAGGTCGTGGGTGTGGAGGTGATGGATGAAGCTGCCCGAGATGCCGGTGACGATGACGGCACTTATGAAGGCCCAGCCGCGGAGGAAGATGGAGATGACTTTTGATGCCATACCCATTTTGACGGTATTTTGTGTTGATTGCTTTCTTTTGGAATTTTTTTTTTTTGTTTTGTATGTTCTCTTTTTGCTTCAGTGTTTGTTTCTCTGACTCTGTTCTCGTCAAGAAGAGTCCAACTTTTCGCTCTTGGGGGCTGGAAAGGGTCGGGGTTCTTATCCTCGAGGATAGCAAGAGGTGTAAGTGAGCCGGACGCACCTCGACACACCTAGGTTCGCTAGTCGCTTCTCATGTTTCCTCATTCATAAATCAGGATCATTCCTCGCCCATTGACCTTCTCGCGTGGTCCAGCTGGAGCTAAGCTCCTCGGCGACTCCCAAAACGCCACATGAGGGTATCCCAACGTCATCCGACGGGTGTCCCGGGAGTCCAATTCTGAAGAACATATTTTGAGTTTCTCCCTACAATGCCACATCCCTACATTGAAAAAAAGAGCGTTTTTAATAAATTGTTTCCCTTTTCGACATCGGACTTGGGTGGCTGAGAGCACCGACTGATGATCACGTGGAGGGAGCGATGATGCGATGATGCTTGTCGGAGCCGAAGAGGCGTGAATTCTCTCGGACAGGCGAATCGTTCCGACTCTCCATTCATGTATATAATTCTGGCGCCATAATATTCAAATACCACAAATCAGAAGAAGCGCGCAAGAGTAAATAAGTATACAGAGCTGGACATGTCACATTCACCATCTCTCGATGACAGGCGCGACTACGACGATGCCCAAAGAGGCTTCATCGCCGCCTTAACTCCCGGGATCATCAAGAACGCCAAGGGGGAAGTGGTATGGAACATCGATGAATATGCATTCCTCGAGAAGGACTGTCCCCCGACGGCCCACAAGCACCTCTGGAGACAAGCCCAACTCATCGCCAAGCAGGGCTTGTTCGAAATCAAGCCCGGCATCTACCAAGTGCGAGGCCTAGACCTCTCCAACATAACCATCGTCGAAGGCGAGAAAGGCATCGTGGTTATCGATCCGCTCATCTCGTGCGAGTGCGCCGCGGCGGCATTGCAGCTCTACCAGACTCACCGGGGTAAAGGCAGGCCCGTGACGGGGCTGATTTATTCTCACTCTCACGCGGACCATTACATGGGCGCCGCGGGAGTCCTACCCGAGGGTTGGAAGAACGATGGTAGTATCCCGATTATTGCACCGGAGGGCTTCATGGAGTCCGCTATAAGCGAGAACATCCTCTGTGGGCCGTCTATGATGAAACGCGCTGTGTTCATGTACGGCACCGCCATCCCCCGGTCTCCAACGGGACAGATTGGAGTCGGACTGGGCTTGGGTACTAGTACAGGGTCGACGTCTCTCATTCCCCCGAACGTGCTGATAAAGAAGACGGGGGAAGAGCTTGTTGTTGACGGCGTGCGCATCATCTTCCAGATGGTGCCTGGGACTGAAGCGCCGGCGGAGATGAATTTCCAGTTTCCCGATTTCGGAGCTCTCTTAATCGCCGAGACGGCTACTAACTGCCTGCATAATATCGTGAGTTAGCCGAAGAGAGGCAGCGTGTTCCTTGTGGCGGAGGACGCTTGGAATGTTAAAACTAACTCCGGTGCCACCCCGCCATCCTTTTAGGCCACCCTTCGAGGAGCCGAAATACGAGATGCAAAGGCATGGTCGAGCTACCTCGACGAAGCAATTGTGCTCTTCGGAGAAACGTCAGACGTCGTCTTTGGAAGCCATCATTGGCCTACATGGGGCCGGAAAGAGCTCATCACTAGGCTGTCTGAGCAGCGAGACCTGTACGGATATCTGCACGACCAGACCGTACGCATGATGAATCTAGGTAAGTCTTACGGAGAACCCACCCGTGCATATTAGAAAGCCACAACGCTGAATCTCTTTCTCCCCTTCTTCGTAGGGATGACGGGGGTGGAGATTGCCGAGAAGATACAATTGCCGCCGGCACTCTCGCGGGCATGGCATTGCCGAGGCTTCTACGGTTCGGTAAGCCATAACGTCAAGGTATGTATACCCGTGCCCATTTTCTCGCTCGATGAAAGATAAAGAGCTGACGAAGGGCTGGTCAAAAAGGGCATCTATCAAAAATACATGACCTGGTTCGACGGCAACCCAGCCCATATATGGCAATATCCCCCGGCGGAGGAAGGAAGAAGATACGTCGAGTGCATGGGAGGCGTTGACAGTCTCTGCGACAAGGCCGAGCAATTCCTGAGCAAGGGCGACGCCCGGTTCGCAGCGACGCTGCTCGCCCACGCTGTGGCGGGATACCCTGATCACGCAAGCTCCAGGCTGAGGGATCTCCTGGCCTCCGCGTACGAGAACCTAGGCTACGGCTCCGAAAACGGAACGTGGCGCAACTTTTACCTGACGGGGGCTCTGGAGCTGAGGACCGGTAGACGAGTCGGCCAGGATACGGATTGGAGTACGCCCGGGACGCATCTGTCTGTTGAGCAGTGGTTTGACGTCATTGCTGTGCGGCTGAATAGCGAGAAGGCTGCCGAGGCATCGTTTACGATTGATTTTGATGTTACGGATGTTAAGAAGAAGTGGCGGCTTATAGTGAGCAATGGTGTACTGACGCGACGGTTGCTCGAGGCTGGAGGAGGGGACGGGTTCGACCTGAGGTTGGTTTTGACGCGGGATCAGCTAGGGCAGATACTGCAGGGTAAGAAGGTGCAGGTGGAGAAGCAGGAAGGGGATGCTCGGGTCCTGGATGAATTGCTGGGTTATATCGGGAGTTGAGACATTGGCATTGGCCGCTGTGTCCTCTTGATCGAGACGCTGAGATCTGAGATCTGAGATCAGGGGTATTCTATTTTAATATTGAGAACCACTTCATAATACGAGATAATACATAGACCAGATCAGAGCTTCGTCGAGCTTCGTATTGATGTCTCAAGGCGGGGTCAAGGTGCTTACATCATAGCATCGTTTGTCTTGTGCCTCAGTAAGCTTAACAAAAAGAGAAGCAGAGGTCGGAGTAACTTTGACACTACTGACCAAAGGAGACCCCGCCTTAGCACCTTCTGTGCCTTTCGTGTTGATTCATTCGAATCCACCCCACCACATTTGATTGACCTCCACCTTTGACATCGACAACCACAACCCCAACCGCATTCTTCCTGGCTCCTCCAACTAAATACGAACATCGTCACGACCTCACCCAAACCGTCCCGCATCTCGAATCCACCCGTCGCCGTCTCTAATACCTCAAAACCACTTGCGCAACCCGCTCCAGAAACGAATCAAGCTCCTTCTCCGCCTGCACACATCGAGGAAACAACCACTCGGAGGGCCCTTTGGTCACGCCCCCTCAACAACCACCAGACTCTGCCCCAGTTGTGCCCCCCTCCCGCCGCCACCACGTCGTCCCACGACTCCTCCGGCGCCGCCCCCGGTGAAGGGCCGGCATCCGCACCCACCACATCCCCCACCTCCCCGCGCTTCCACCGCCCCATCCTCCAATCCATGCCCGACACCCGCCAGCAATCCTTCGACGAGATCTACGGGCCCCCCGAAAACTTCCTCGAGATCGAGGTCCGCAACCCCCGCACCCACGGCGTCGGCCGCCACATGTACACCGACTACGAGATCGTCTGCCGCACCAATATCCCGGCCTTCAAGCTGCGCCAGTCCACCGTGCGCAGGCGCTATTCCGACTTTGAGTACTTTCGCGATATTCTCGAGAGGGAGAGTGCGAGGGTGACCATTCCGCCGTTGCCGGGGAAGGTGTTTACGAATCGGTTTAGCGATGATGTTATTGAGGGCAGGAGGGCGGGGTTGGAGAAGTTTTTGAAGATTGTGGTTGGGCATCCGCTTTTGCAGACGGGGAGTAAGGTTTTGGCTGCTTTTGTGCAGGGTGAGTTCCTCTTTTTCTTTTCTCCTTGAACTCTCCCTCCCCATCTTGGCGCTAATGAAGTTCTATGTAGATCCAAACTGGGATAGGAATGCCTGGTGAGCTCTCGCGGGCTTAAGAGAAGCGAACAGAGATCACGTAGGTCTCGCATCTCGCTGACGAGATCATGATCTACCTACCATTAAGCTGTGCGATATTTCCAGGCGTTACAAATTTTGGGAGAAAACAGGACCTTGGTGGATGGAGCAGGGCACGAGTCTTCAACTTTCAATGTTTCTATTCTTCTCCTCTATCCCTTCTCGTTTTACTTTTCTTTTTGTTATCCTTTTCTTTTTCTCACCTCCCTCGCCTTGTTTCTGCTGTTGAAGTTCTTCATGTGTACTCACGTACCTTGTGTGATTGATATGGGGACGTATGCAGGCTGTGCGGTAGTCGAGATTGTTCATGTTTGAAAAATGGTAGCACTAGCGATCCGGACACAAATCAAAACAGTTTACATTCTTCACTAGTCATATCTGTCCAACTCAAGCCCTCTAGTAGAATGCACTATACACACACACAGGGAGAGAGAGAGGTTGTAGGAAATGATGCGTCATTATATTGAGAGCCTCCAGGTATAGCAACACGGAGGATTATGTCTATAGAGGATGGTATCACAGGCCCTTCCTTCACATAAAGCGTACATTAGACGTATCGTACACTTGATCTCTTCTCCTTTTCCCGCCTTGCCCCATCCGCCTTTTTCTACCCCCATCTCAGATTCTCTTGGGAGAAGAGTGTGCATATGTACAAGATCTCTCAGGTGCTGCTCAAGGCCCCAACGCCTTCCGAAACCCCAACCCAATGAATGTGGTTCTCTTCTTTCGTTTTATCCCTCTCCGTCATCTTTTAGTAAAAACCCAATCGAGCTCCCCCATTCTATTCCCAAACTGGCAAATGGAAAACAGATAGGGTTGAGAGATTGCAAGAAACAAAAAACTCCAAAACATGATGATACAAAGCCTGATTGCCTTTCAAAAACAATGTTGGTACAAAAGCTCCTCTTTTCGTATCGGAGCTTACCGTAAAGTAGTGGAGATGGACTTTCCGTTTCTTCTTTTCCTTTTAAGCTGTAGTGCCGCAGATGCGGAGGATGCCTTCATACATGCCGAACATGATAGCAGCGCTAGGCACCGTCCGCATCAAGTGCGGAGTCATTCCGCCGTAGAGACCGGCGAGGCCTTCTTCTATCCAGACGCGGCGGAAGCACTGGATCAGGCCTGTGTATTTCGGTTGGCCGTTGGCCATCGGGGCTTGTCGTAGTCGTGTTCGGGCGACCTAGAAAAGCAGAAAGGTTAGGCCAATCCGTCAAGTATGCCGCAACATGCCCAGAAACGAGCCGAACAAAAATTCACCTCATGAGGATACGCCGCAACAGCAGCAATCAACTTGGCCCCACCAGCCGCAAACACCTTCCCAGTCCAATCCACCGCCTTATCCCACGCCGTCTTCTCCCTCCCGCTCAACTCAATCAAGGCATTCCTCCTCGCCAGATAGCTCTTCATCTGCTCGTACATGACCCACTGCATAGTCGACTCCGCAACGCCCAAATAACTAGCACTCATCCCCTTATACATGCTCCTAAACCCTTCATTCCTCAAAATCTGCCTCGTACAATCCCAGCTATTCCGATACTGCCTCTTCGTCACACCACCGCTCTGCTCCGCCACGTTCTTATCAAGCTGCAACCTCGTCTTGATCATCCAGATGGGGTTCGTCGCCGTAGATGTAACGATACCCGCCAAAACACCCGCAGATAGGTGCACCCACGCAGCCTCCTCGCCGCCGTTGGCGTATTGGGCTATTAACCGCTTGCCGTTGCCGTACGTGTAGAAGCTGATGCTGCGGGCTGGCACGACGCCGACGAGGTTAGGGCCGAGACCTTTGAAGAGCGCGCGGGGGCCCTCGATGCGGTAGACCGAGGCGAGGATCTGGATCGTTTCGCGGAGGTGGAGGGATGCGGAGCGGAAGAAGTTGAGGGAGCTGATTTGCGTGTGGGCGACGCGGGAGGCGCGGATTTGGGATTGGTAGAAGTCGGATTGGAGGCGGGTTTTGAGGACGTCGAGGGGGGCTGTGAGGGCTGCTGCCGTCATGCCGCCGACACTTTTTGTGTGAAAGATCTTGTTAGCCTTTCGCCCGTCACGGGGTCGAGCCAGAGCTCCAAGGGGTATTTTGATATGAGCCTTACCCTCCGGCGACAAAGTGAGCCCAGGACTTGGCAAAAGGCGACGCCTCGGGCATGGAATTCGGTAGCACATCGCCCGTCTCACGCGATTGTACCATGGCGGCTCGCTCAGCGATGCGAGTATCATGGGGGCCCGCGGCGCCCCGGAAGAGTTTTTCGGATGGTGGATGTGAATGCGCCATGGTCGTATTTCGATTCGATTCTTTGTGGAGTTGGGAAAGGAAATGGGGGAAGACCAGGCGCGTTGTTCAGACCGCGCTGGTTGCGATTGTTCAGGATCTCGGCGGTTGTCGAACGACGGTTTGTGAGAGAAAGCAGGAAAAAAAATTGTTGGAAGGCCTCCCAGGTTGCGATTGCCTCACATGCAGTAGATCATCCCGTTGTAGCACATCCAGGACGAGAAGAGGGAATCAATTATTAACCGATGAAGTAAAAGAATGAATAATTAAGATGAAGTTTGCAATAGTAGAAAAATTCCCCTAAGGTCCAAGGAGATCAACTTAGACGAAGAGAAAAAGAAAAGTTCTGGTCACATCGAATCATGGACCAAGTTCAAAAAGGGCAGTTCCCAGTTCCGGTTTCTGGTTGGATTTGGGGAAATTTTCAGTACGATGTACGCAGTACAAATGACTTGTACCGTGTTAGTAATGGAGAAAATAATCTTGATCCCTGCTAATTAACAAAGTCACGTCACACCAGACGGGCATCTTCACTCAACTTGTCCCGACGTGTTGGGCGGGATCAACCGACGATGACCGCACAGACCATTCCTGATGTGTCAGCGGTCTTATCGTGTACTACGTGCAAATACTGGAATGCACTGTAACCCGCACGAATCTCGACTTCCTCTCATGGCTGGGGTGGACGAAGACGCCTCGTCTCAGCTCTGTCTTACTTCCACTTATCCTTGATTATTCTCACTTTATACTAACAGAAACCTCCTGTAGTCCTGGTGTCCAATCTATTCTTGTTTTCTACTTCTTCCATGTGCCGCTCGGGGAATCTATCTAAACAATTGTTGCATAATAAACGAGGATAAAAGGTGCCCTCTTCCCAACTCCACCCTGAGTGTTCAGGTCGAAGCAACACCCGGCTCTGGCTATCAAATTGATCCTCCTATTTCCCTCTCGCTCCCAAGAATGCAGTACCTCGGTAAATGTGCTCTATATCTACCCCTCGTCATAATACCAAAACACTCTTAGCACACCTCAATCCCACCAGTAGAACCTAAGATGGACCATGCTCTACCGTCCGTCATGGGTGCACTCCATGAGCAGCAGCCACGGGGCTCGGTAGCGGCAGCACCCCAACCTGCACCTCCTTCATCTCCATCTCCTTGACCGGCGTACTCAAAAAGTTCGGATCCCGTGGTAATCCTGTTGGAAGCATCTTCCGCGGAGGGCTCGTCTGCGTCGTGATGGAATCGATATCCATCCGCGACGAGGGGGTCTCCTCCCTATTCCCGGACCCCGAGGTCTTTCGGCCGTGGTGCTGAGGTGAGTGATGGGCCGTCCCGGCGTCCTCGCTTTCGATCAGGGCTCTATGGGGAGGGGCCTGCTCGTCAACAACAAGCCTACTGACCAGATCCTGGCGTAAAACGGGTTGGCTTGCGGGAGGAGGAGGCGGTGGTTGCTGCTGCGGTTGTTGTTGCTGTTGAATACTCGGTAGCTTATTCTCACTTCTCTCGTTCCCCCTCATCATCGCACTAACACCGGCACCTCCTCCCCCTCCTGTGCCAGGACCAACATTCGTAGCCGTCCCACCAACACCTTGACCCGAGCCCTCAGCAGCCTTCTTCGCCGCCCGCCTCCTCATCTCCCTCCTCAATTTCAACTCAGAAATCTCCTCCTCCGTCGCCGTCTTCCATGTACACTTAGCATGTTTCTTAGTACACCCTTGACAAGCCGTCAAATGCTTGACGCACTCCGCCCGAAGCCGTCTGCACCTATCGCAAGGCGGCGTGATCTCGTCTCCCTTCCCCAGCGTCTCGATCATGCTCGTAATCAGCGGCCGATGCAAAGCCTCGGCGTCTTCGGCCGCTGAGTCTCTCCGTGGCGTTGCCGGCGGTTGTTGTTGCGCGGGAAGACGTCCGCTGGGAGCGATGGGCGCGAATCTCGCCGTCGGACTAATCGCCATAGGATGATACGGCTGTCCGATCGGTGGCGCCGGGTTCGGATTTCCGGGCGCTCCTCCTGTCGCTACCGCCGATACGGCAATATGGTTCGGCCCCGGCGCTGTTTGGATCCCGTACATCGGTCGCGCAAACGTGTTGGGCGAAGGCGAGGGCGAGTTGAACTGCTGAATGAGCTCCGCGTGGAGGTCACACACGTCGCCACCGATGCCAGCTCTGGACCCACGCACGCTATTCTTCCGCTTCCGATTATTCACCGCCTGAAACCCACCTGCCGCGACCGCGGACGCCTGCTGCTGTTGTTGTTGCTGTCCCCTCTGCGCCAGTATACCCGACCTCCTCCCCCCAAGCGCATAAACAAGCTGCTTCGCCCTCCTCGCCACCTCCTCCGCCGTCCGCACGAGAGCCTCAAGCCTCGCCTCCACAATATCCACCGTCGCCAACTCCGCCGCTTCATCCTCCTCCAAAGGCGCCGTGGGTATCATGCCGTCGAGGGCCCCCGTGCCGATGAGCCGCCAGTCGTCCTCCATGACCTCGACCTGCATCCCTTTCAGGTGGAACTGGCACACGCGCCCGCCGCCGGGTAGCATCGCCGTCGTGAACCCACCGGGGTTGGACCGCGCATAGTGGATGATGTCGGACCAGCGGACGGGGTGGAGTGTTTGTGGTGTTTGGGGAGGGGATGTGAGAATGGGGCCTTCGAAGGCGCTTTCGACGGCTTTCATGAGCCGGGGGCCGGTGAGTTTGGCTCCGAGGTTGAAAGCGAGACTTTCTTGTCGGGTTAGGACTCCTAGAAGAGGGGGGAAAGGAGGAGCTCCTGTTAGTGAAACTCGTTTTGTCGATGAACGAGCCGAGCAAGTTTCATTCCTGACCGGGGAGCGGAACTTACCCTCATAGTCTGATAAGAGCTTCAACAGGTGCCCGAATATGTCCCCTTCGCCTTGCACCAACCTTAACTTTTCGTAGCTCGCCCGCGAGAAATAATTGATCGGCGTGGATACCGGCGTGCCTACTTATAGTTAGACAATGACGGCCTACCGTCTATCATTATACAAAAGGAAGCTGTTGGTGTTGATTGTGTTGGAGGACTCAACGAGTCAAAACCGAGGACTGTGGCCGGCAAACGAACCCAAAAAAAAAAAGCAAACGAAAAGAAAGGGAAAATGGAATGAGAGACAGAGAGTGAAATAAAGGAGGAAAGAGATATGATTTTACCAGAGACTGGGCTACTCATTGTCATTCCAGCTCAGACAAGAACGAGTATTGTTTCTCTAGTACTTTCTTCTTCCCGGTTTCTTGTCAAATCTCATCTGGGATAAGACAAGGACACGGAACACGGGTTGACTGTCCGGGTTCCACGATGAAAGAGAGACACGATCCGTCAGGAGGACTTCTTCAGGAAACAAGGAAACAAGGCGGGGGAAAGATAAAAGGTACGTCACGGATGAAAAGGCCGAGTCGCCGAGGGAGAAGGGGAAAGAGAAACAAACAAGCCTTTGTAAATGAAACCCAGGCTGTAAGGAAGAAAAGAAAGAGACATGGTAAAAAGCGGTGTTGGAGCTCGCTCTTTGTTTTCCAAAACGGAGGGTGCCAAGCTGCCCAACACTACCCAAAGAAGCAGGAGATGTATCGCAAAGGTAGGAAAGAGTAAATAGTGTTAGGGAGAGAAAAAGAAGGAGGAAAAGCACAGCATACCTGGATGTGGAGGACGTGACGACGCCATCTGCGGGAGAGTGTTGAGACGGATCGGCTTTCCCCCACAGACACCACCAATGCCGCCGGCACCGGCGCTAGTACTACCGCCGCCGCTTCCTCCTCCAGTATCCCCAGTGTCGATCTTCTTCCGCTTGTGCGGCTCCTGCTCTGTGGTTATGTGTGCCATTGGATGGGACTCTGCCCGAGGCGGGACGAAAGGGGCAGGGGGGTTAAAAAGGATATCCGAAATTTGTGGGAAGGGAGCTGAAAGGAGGGGAAATGATACCCGAGAGAGTACGAAGATCTTCGGAAATAGGAATGGGAGGGTGTATTAGGAAAAGAAAAGGGGATGGGGGGGCTCGAAGTTGAACGAGACTCGAAGAGAGAGGAACAATGGAGGGGATGTGCGAGAAGAAAGAAAAAGAAACTCGTCAAGTTACTCTTCTGGCTGGCTGGGAACAGCCTGACGGGTTTTTAGAAAAGACCGAGAGCGCGGGAATGAGATAGAGAGAGAGAGAGAGAGAGACAACGGATGGGGACCGAGGGAACGGAACGGTGGGAATAAAAGGATTGTCGTTGCGTCTTTCGTTTTAGAGGGCTGATGAAGAGAGAGTAGTGGAAGAAAAGGTTTGTGTTCTTTTGCTTTCCTCCAGGAAATCTGAAAAGAAGAACAGTGCTTCCTCCTCCTCAACGGCGGTGGACTTCAACCGCGTACAGTCTCTAGGGGAGTGGTTTTTTCGAAGCTGTACGCCCTAAGAAGAAGACAGGTATCCCCCAATGGCGAGGGAGGAGGCGCCGCGGAAGGGAAGCTACGGATGTGCGTTTACGAGCCCAAACTCCGGAGAAACAAATGTTCGAGAAGATATTGAAAAAGGAAAAGGAGAGGGAGCAGAGATTCCGAAAGATAGAGGATAGGGGGCAAGAGGGAAGTATGGCTCGAAGTGTGGGAAGGACAGAAAAGTATGGGGGTGAGAGGGTGGGCTGCGGTGGAAGAGGAGCGTGGAAGCTATTCGATCCAGCGCCGGCGGAGGGCTACTGTAAGTCGAGGTCTAGTAACACATAGATCTCTTCCGGCCTCCCTGGAACGAAGTGATCCAGAAGACCGCGCCACCGTTGAGCTTGCCTAGTCCGCCTGCCTCTCTACTTGACGTCTGGTTGCCTCGTCGTGTTCCTTCTGGCCCATCTTTCCATCTCTACCTTGCTACTCCCTACCGCTCTCCTACAACAGGCCAAGTCCACCGCGCCTCAAACGTCCCATGGGCAATCAAGCCCACGAGTTTGCCTACTGGCCACCGACAACTGTGGAACGTGACCGGATATTATGATGGGATATTGTTCAGAGTAGGTAGACGGAGAGGCAAGCCAGTTGAGCGGAAAAAGCAACGAAAAGGGGTGAAGGCAGCTGGATAAAAGCCGAAGGAAACAGAAAGTAAAAAGGAAATATGAGAGATGAGATGTAAAATATCACCGCCCGGGAAAATAATCAAAAACCACATCAGAAAAAGGAAAGAAACAAAGGACACACGCCCCCACCATCGCCGGGGAAAGGAAAGACCAGAAAGAGAGATGAATGTCGCGAACTTAGGACTGACGGCGCCGGAGGGTATGACGTCTAAACATCCATTGACGCGTCCTAGCTTCTCTTGACCCCCGGCAAGCCATTGCCTGCCCTCCCTCGTACTACCGGTTTTTGGTTTTCACTCTACGCACTATGCTGTTCTTCAACTCGATCGGTGCTGGGTGTTCTGTCCACTGCGAGATCGAGAGTTTTTGTCCTCGTCCAGGGCTAGGTAAATTTCCCCGAGGTCGGGAATACTTGGTGTCTCCTTTGCCCTATCGTAGCGCACACTTATAAGTCTTGTCCACCGTACTGAGCAAGCCGCCCTTGGCCCGCCTGCGGTTAGATGAATAGCAGACAAGAAAGAGAGAGAGTGTGCGTGTGTGTGAGGAGAGAGAGATGGGATAGATACGTGCTTTTTTTAGCCCCCAATAAAGCCTCATCGCCGCACATCTCCCGCCGCTGCCGTTCCCTTCCCCAGAATTGGCAGGCACCAGCCCAGCTATCCAAATGAGAGGGCGTTCACTCCATTCTCCTCCGGATGGACTGACCACCTGTCGCCGGAGGCCCTATTTCTTATTTGTCTTGGAGGTAAGATCGGTGTGGGACCTTGACCACCATTAATCTCCTACAGAACTATTAACTCTCTCGTAAAAACCCCATTTTATAATTTCCTGCCATTTTGGCCGCTGTCTCTCGCTTCCCGCGATTTCCCTCCGCTCAAAGTTCTTAGTGTGTTTCTTTTTCGGCTAGATCCCGGTATAAGTGGTTTTTTGGTGTCTGCGTGTTTGACCCTTTTCGCTTGTCTCACTTTTTTTCTGTTGTTTGCACTAGGGCACCTGCCGGTATTGGAGGTCGATCGGACGCGGGTAGCGTAATGTTGTCTCAATCCTTTCTACTGGGAACTACCCATCTGAATCCCTGGGATTTCCTCGTCAGCAATTAGGATGGATGGACCGCGGCCAGGCCCTGAGCTAAGCCTAGAGCTAAGCCTCAGGTAACAGCTGGTGTGGGAAATAAGAAAGAAAAAGGAAAGAAAAAGGTACACGGTGATGAAGTTGTACGCATAACAGCAGAATGTGCAGGCTGAGAAAACAAATGGTGTACTAGAGCAAACAGAATCCGATGACACTAGTCCAGTTCGATCGATATCTGAGCTTGCCTGGTCCAGAACACAGCTGTGGTACCCAGCTCACCTGGGTCAATGGTCATATTCCCTCTCGCCTTATTCGATGCTCTTCCGCCGCCACACTACCTCAGTGTCTAAGAACCACCCTTCGAGCTTATATCTCTTTCGTCTACCGTCGTCCTCTCATTCCCTCTCCCTCTCACTTCTTGCATAATGCAAAAACTGGAAGAAGAAGGTTCCTCCATCATTACGTAGTTGGGCGGCGGTCGCCTTCGGGTAATCGCATCTGTCCGACAGTCACCAGCTTGGAACCCTCTCCTTTTCTAACTGCCTTCCATCTTTTGCCTCTCGCTCTGTTTCACACTCACACTCTCGGTATCGTGTTCCGTAACGGGGTAGTGTGACTAGAATATGGCAACCTCCGCTAGGAAACTCCCTATCCTCCTCACCCACACATTTGATTCACCCACCCTCCAAAGGGCTGCGACCACCCACACTTGCAAAGGTCTGCAAGTGTCGTGCAATGAGTCAAGCAAAAGGGAGACCCGCTGCCTGGCGGCGGGGGCTAGTAGTACCGCCGACATGTATGACAAGAGCTTTTCTTTTCTTCTCCAACGAGACAGGCAGCACAGCGGACACACCATTGTCCTCTAGTCGAACCACGGAGCCTGCATTTCTTGGCCGGCCAGAAGGCACATGCCCAGAGCAAGTAAATGCCGGCCGGTGCGCACGATGAAACTTAAAAGAAAATCTCCGTGAGGCCCTTGCGTCAGAAGAGACAGGCTCGTAGCCAACAACAAATTCAGAGAGCTCCACAATTGTCCAACGCTGCATTGCCTCGTTGACCTCTCCTTTTTGGGAGAAAGGAGCAGCATGAGCACTGGAGCCTTGGCCACGTCGCTGCCCCTAGTGCGTGTCCTGGCTCCCTACCGTACGGTGCTAGCAAAGGCGCGTGAGGTTTGTCTCTTGGGGGGTTCCGTATGTCGGTGTCGGTGTCGGTGTCGGTGTCAGTGCCGGTGAGGCCTGCCAAGTCATCTCCAGAGAGGAAACCCCCGTGCACCTGACTTTCCTCCCCTGCGAGAAACGTATGTCTCTGAGAGAGGGGGGTGAAAGAAACTAAGGTTCCTAAGCTTGACCGCTGGTATTTGACCGAAATTTGGACGTAGTCAGTGTTGTCTCGTGGAACAGGTCACAAAAATTCCTGTTGAATATCACCCGTACCCTCGAATGATATTGATACATTGGCGCGATGAAAGTGTCTCAACACCCACCTTGTGAGTTGCGAGTCCCGGGGCTGGCAAAACGAGAATTCGCTAGTGTGCCGCCTTCGCCCAGGAGTAGATTCAGACTCACCTTGCCTCACGCCGTTAGCATGTTCGAGAGAGTCCCGTCCCCTTCCCCTGAGAACGGAGGTTACCGCTCAGTGGGAATGGGGGCCAAGGGAGGACTCCTTCACCCTCTATCCCCGGGCACCCGTTCGTAACCTCGGGCTCTCGCCCCTCTGGAGCTAGCGTAGACTGGATGGAAATTTGGGCCTTTCCCGCCCTTAGTTATCCCGCTCGCCAAATGGTTAGACATCGGAGTCAGTTGAGGGTATCCACCAACTCGCACATTACGCAGACACCACCCACCTCCTTCACCCTCACCCTCCTATTCCTTCAACGTCCACGCCTCTTGGCTGGCACACAACACACACACACAGTACTCCCACACAGGATACAGGATCCTCACCACACCCCCACTCAGGGAGAAGTGATCCGGCAAAGCCAACCACTCTTCTTTTCACGCCTCTCCCACCGACACCGCCGATTTCCTCTCCTTCTGAATCCGGAACTTTTTCCAACGGCACACTGCATGCGAGTGTTGGGGGAGGGGAGGGAGGTACGGTGAGGTGTCAAGTGCTCCAAGACCCAGACAAAGTCGGTCCGCATGCCCATGCATTGGTTTCCCAAAACTCTTCGCCACTGGTATGCCTTGGACATAGAGGAAAGAGAACGTAGCTTCCTCCGGTCTCGTTACATCTTTCGGCGGCGGCTGTCGATAACCATCCCACACCTTCCTTTGGTCTCTGGTGTACGCACGGAATATCAGCAAGTTGCCGATAGGGGTTATGTCACGAGCGTAACCCTGACGCATGGCATGGCAGCAGCCACCCGGATGATAACAAAATAATCACCTGTTTTGGCCGGTTTCTTGAGGCTTAAATCGAAGAACATTCTTTATTTTCTCTGTGGGCAGATGGTAAGGACGAGTGGAGATGGCAATTGCGATGTTGCTCTGCAAGTATCTGCGGAACGACGTAAGCTCAGAGAGCCAAACAAATAAAGAGACCAAAAAAAAAAAAAAAAAAAAAAAAAAATTCTCTGTGAAACAGACTCTTAGCTGATGGGTGATATGCCGTGAAGAGGTACAGAGCAACTTGGCTACGCACCACGAACAGGTCACCCAGTGATGTGACGTCCCGAAAAGGAAGGGCAAAAAAAAAGGATGCTGAGAAGCTTCAAAGCTCCAAGCTCCCGTCGAGATCGAAGTACCTTTGTACCTTCCCCGAGCCCCACCAAAATAGGTTGGACCAGGCGGCAGAATTTCCTTCACCGCCCTCGAAACCCAGTCTCCGCCCCACGTCAACACAGCATGAGCAACCTGCGACTTCAACCTCATCAATTGTTACAGCACAGCGGCTCACGTTTCTTATTTCCCAGCGCACGAGGTCCACGCGAGTAGCCTCTTTTGTACAGAAAAAGGCGCGGATAATAACTTGTCGACCTTCGTTACCCGCCTCATTGACGAAAGACGGTACAAAATCAACCCGACGAACAAACGAACGACCTTTGGATACTTCTGTTTGCGCGAGGAGGGGGGAGCTTTCGCCAGCAACGAAGGCTTTGATATTTCCGAGTCGACGACGAGGGGATACAGCTACATCAGAGGGAAAATAAGGAAGAAATCCTAAAAAAAAATCGCAGCGAACAATGGCCGACAGGGGCTCGCATCGTGGTGGACGGGGCGGCTATCAGCATCGTGGAGGCCGTGGGGGAGGTCGGGGCGGGGCGGCGTATTCGGGTGGTGCTGGCGGGGACCACAAGGACAGAGAGAAGCCGAAGAAGGAGAACATCCTCGACCTAAACAAGTACATGGACAAGCGGATAACGGTAAAATTTAACGGTGGTCGCGAGGGTAAGCTGAGCCTAGGAGCCGACAACCCAACTTTTGCGGTGAAGGTTCATTTCTCCTGTTTCTGGGACTGCTACTAACGCATTGGACAGTCACTGGCTCTCTCAAAGGCTTTGATGCGCTCATGAACCTGGTGCTGGATGAGGTAGAAGAGGTAGTTCGAGGCAAGTACTCTGTCCAGCTCTCTCGGCCCTCTATTCTCTCATTATCCAACCCACCACTGTCATTTTCTCCTAGCCCCATGAGGGAAACACACTAACCGTCTCACTAGACGAAGAAGGGAATGAATCTACGCGGTCCCTCGGACTGGTTGTTGCCCGTGGGACTCTCCTCGTTCTCATCAGCCCAGTGGATGGTAGCGAGGTCATCGCTAACCCCTTCGTTAATGAGGACTCTGACTAAGAGGGTGGGGGCATCGAAACTCGGTTTTACTCTTATTATGATGTGGGTTGGAATACTTTACCCTAGCCGAATGTAGCCTGCGCATTCGTACCTTAACAGAGGTTGCCCCTGCCATTCCTACTCGAAATTAATCTCTAAAGTAGGGGCAGTGAGGACAGGACTATGGCTTGGTGTTGCTGATAAGCCGGATACCATTGCGCGTTTCATGTTAAGAGCAGGCAGGGCCAGAAAACAAGAAGAACGAGTGGTGGTCGAATAGGTTCCCGTGCCATAGAATGGATCGGAACAAATGAGCTTTGAGCTCGACATGAAGCAAAAGAAAACAATCAATTCAAAAATACAGACACGAATGCCGGAATGGCGTTACACGAAATCTCCTACTGGCCTCACAGCGAATATCGCCCCCAACACAACGCAGCTGCCTGGTTTCGTTGGGTTGGCCAACTCGGGCAGGTTCCCGGAAACCCTGCATCTCGTCATCCTGTGACACTGTCTCAAATGCACGCCGCCGCCACACATGGGGTCGATACAGAGCCGCCTCGTAGACTCTTGAGTAAGTTTGTGTTGGTCAGTTTGTCAGAGAGTGACTGGGGCGACGGTATTTGTAGGACATCGCAAATCGACCTGCTTGCCTCAACAAAACCACTTTATGTCCATGAATGGTCAAGAGATCTTCTGGTAGGAGCCAGTTGGCTTCAGGTGATATCACGTGATTACACCTGACGAGGCGAGTGTAGTTCGTTGTCAATGCAGTTCAAATATTGTTAGTGCCCGGGTGCCCCAGTAACCCCACCATTGCTAATCGACGCTCTGGGCTAAATCACGAACCATCGAAGAGCTCATTACCATTTTCGCCTCCCATCGTCGACCAGGGTCTTGCGTAGACTGTTGTTGCCTTGGTATTTTTGCCTCACAAAGCTTGACTCCTGCATCGTTTGGCTTCTGTCAGCTTCATCTGCTTTCCACCTTAATTATTTCTCCATCCGCAAATTCTACTCCGGTTTCTGCAACTGGCTCCTCTCTCCCTGTCTTCACCCCGCCTTCTCTCAACGCTTCCACCGAGTTCCTTAATTACAGCTACCATTGGACCTGACTGCGAACATGGCTACCATTCCGGGTTCGTATCTCTGACTCTCCCCCCCTCCAGCCACACAATCCAGAGATTTCCTAGCTAACTAAGGGGAATTTCTTCCTGTGATACAGTGGTGGTAAAGCACCAAGGCAAGAAGTACGACGTCGAAGTCGACACCTCGAACCCCGGCGAAGTCTTCAAATACCAACTCTTCAGCCTAACCGGCGTCGAACCCGAGAGGCAAAAGATCCTCGTCAAGGGCGGCCAACTCAAAGATGACACCGACATGAGCAAGCTCGGCCTCAAGGCCGGCCAGACAATCATGATGCTCGGCACCCCGTCGGGTTCGGGCGGTGACCTCGTCCGCCCCAAGGAGCCCGTCAAGTTCCTCGAGGACATGACCGAAGCCGAGGCCGCGCAGCAGCAGGGAGCCACGCCCGCCGGTCTTGTCAACCTCGGAAACACTTGCTACCTCAACTCGACTCTCCAGACTCTTCGATCGATCCCCGAGCTTCAGGATGCTTTGGTGAAGTACAAGGCGCCGGATAGCAGTCGTGGATTCGGGGCGGTGGACATCGTGGCGGACCTGCGTGATTTGTACAGGCGAATGGGCGAGACACAGGATAGCTTGGAGCCCATTACGTTCCTGAACACGCTGCGCAAGGTCTTCCCTCAATTTGCCGAGCGGTCGAGGTCCAGCAATGTGTATGCCCAGCAGGATGCCGAAGAAGCGTGGTCCCAGATCCTTGCGCAGATTCGATCGAAGCTCCAGATCCCAGGACAATCGGCATCGGCGTCCTTTGTCGACAGGTATATGACGGGCAATTTCGTTTCCGAGCTCAAGTGCGACGAAGAAGGGGGCGAGGCGCCCGTCGAGTCCTCGGACCAGTTTCTCAAGCTCAACTGCCACATCAACGCCAACACAAACCACCTCAGGGACGGCATCGCCAACGCCCTGACGGAGAAGATTGAAAAGAACTCGGAAGCCCTCGGCAAGGAAACGACGTTCACCAAGACGTCCAAGATCTCAAGGCTACCTCAGTACTTGACGGTACACTTTGTCCGGTTCTTCTGGAAACGCGAGAGCCAGAAGAAGGCCAAGATTTTGCGCAAGGTTTCGTTCCCCAAGGAGCTCGACCTCGTCGAGTTCTGCACCGACGACTTGAAGAAGCTCCTCGTGCCCGTCCGCGACAAGGTCAGGGAGATCCGCAAAGACGAAGAGGACATTGAGCGCGCTCGCAAGCGACGCAAGATCCGTGATGCGGGTGCCGACGTTCCCGGTGCGTCCGGCGAGGCTGCTCCCAAGAGTAAGGAAAAGGAGAAGAAGGAGAAGCAGGAAGCCGAGAAGAAGTCGGCCGACGGCGATACCGAGATGACGGAGACGTACAAGACGGACGCCGAAGTCGATGCAGAACGCGATGCCGCGCTCCTCGAGGCCAAGAAGGAGCTTCATTCTCTCATCAGCCCCCAGCTCCTTGAGGACGACGGCGCGAACCAGTCGGGCATCTACGATCTCCGCGCCGTCATTACCCATCAGGGTTCGAGCGCTGATAGCGGTCACTACACGGCGTACGTCAAGAAGACGGCGCCGATTGATCCCAAGACGGGAAAGAAGGGCGAGGAGGATGGAAACTGGTGGTGGTTCAACGATGACAAGATTTCCGAGGTGGCGGGAGACAAGATTGAGACGCTTGCTGGTGGCGGTGAGTCGCATTCGGCGCTCATCCTGCTATACAAGGCGATTCCCCTGCCGAGCGCCAGCGGCGTTGTCGAGTAAGGAGATTTTGGCGCGCATAGTGGAGGATGGCTGTGATGGACGTGGAGTGGTTTCCAAAAAGGTAGTTGCGCGACATGATGCGAGAACGAAAGAATCGGACGGCGTTTTCTTATGCTATTCATACACACACTGGCATGGGGATCCGGCGACTTGGTGATAGAGTATTCCGACTCAATGAATTTATGCTTGCCTGAATAGGGGTAGAGGTTCCTCAAGAAGAAAAACATGTTCTATTCAAACCGTGATGCCTAACTCCGTCCCATGATATGTCTATCCTTGTATACAATGCAAATTAGTCCCACCGAAAAATCGTACACATCAATCACAGCATACCGCCCGCACACCGAATCCTCTAACCTACACCACCCCGTGATTTCTGTCTTCGGTCAAGGCCACCTCTTCGACTGGTCCGCCTCCTCAGCCGCTTTCCTCCTCGCCGCAGCAGCTTCCCTCTCCTTAACGCGCGCATGAAAAGTATCCAGTTTCCTTTGCAGCAACTCCTGTTGGGAGTATAAGTGGCGTTTCTGGGCTTCGAGAACGGCGATTTTCTCTTCGACGGGGGCTTCGAGGATTCGGTTCTTTTCCTGTATTGTTGGACACATATTCGCTGTTAGCCCTCTCTTTCTTTCCCCTTTTGTTTTTCCCCCTTCCGGCCCGGAGAGTTCCTAGAGATATGAAGGAGAAGGGAGATGAGAGGGGAGGGTGTGAATCCAAACCTTTTCAAAGTCCTGGTTCGTACGGAGGCCGGCGCCCCACCATGTTCCGGCGATGACGATGATGGCGACGCCAGTTGCGCGGATTGCGCTGCGGATTTTGTGGCCGCTGGTGACTACTGGTTTGGACATTTCTCTTGTGACTTGTAGGTTTTGGTATTTCTTAATTTTCTTATATTTATTCTGTGTCAGACACCGGATGGGACAGTTAGGACCGAAGGGTCGGCGAGGCAGGTCGCGGCAAGGGAATTGCGCGGGATGGGTGCTGGATCGGGGACTATTCCGTCCTTGTTTGTCGAATTGGATGCTAGATATCGTGGAGGAACTGTACTGGGAATAATTGAGGACCTTGGGTGGGTGAAGGTGGATTTATCGCGTGTCGTTGTTTGGAGATTGGAATCTTCAATCTTGATCTCGATCGATCGAGTTCAAGATTGAAGTCATCTGCTGAGTCATCAACGACATGCCCACCACCACAATGCAGGGCCCAAAGTGGAGAGCTCAGCTCCAGTTCTTAGAAGGCAGATTACATCTCTGAGAGTATTCAAGCCATGAGTTTCCTCAAACAAGCGAGCCGTGACAACGATTTGGTGTCTGTGGAGTCTGCTCGAACCACCACTCAAGTTGGTCGAGACCGGCAAGTCATAAGTGTTAGCTCGTAGAAGCGGTAATCTTCTCCTCAAGGGACCGACCAAACGCGCAATATTTGATCTTAAAACTCAGTCTTCGACGAGACAGCGAGTCGACTAACAAGGAAGGCCAGCCACGCCACCCTCTCATGGCGACCACGTCAGCGCGTCTTGGCATCGTGGCTGACGCTTCGCTCCTTGAGTGAAGAACGGACAGAACACACTTTGCGAGAGCTATCGATGACGTGCCGTCCCGCTTAACTAAGGGTATCCTTTTCGGTCCGGCTTCTTGTTGCGCTGTATTTCGTACATTGCTTTGAAAAGCCCGCCACAGGCTGTAGTGTAATGGTGGAGGGATTCGCCTATTTTTTTTTGGTTACGCGAAAGCTCTTGCTAGGTCAGCCGCCCATAAGTTGGCAAGAAGAGCTACGAACAACGCTGCTCCCCACAATTTTACCCGGGGAAGCGTTTCCCGACTGCCGTGGTGGTTCGTCATATTGCGTACTGGCGGAGTGGCTGCAGATGAATGCAGGTCGCCGGCCTGAGCGAATAAAGGTAGGCGGCACGCGTGCTCACTCGACTTGCAGTATCGTCACCATCCCATCCGCGCACTAGTGGGATAACGGGTGGAGGATTGTCAGTCGGTCGCCTCACTTGGAAGGCAAAGTTTGCGTAATTGCCGGGTTTCGTTTTAGGAGCCACGCTGCTGTCGCAAACAGAGAGTCTCGGCGAGGTCTTTTCCGTGTGATGCGCCAAGGAAGATAGATGACGGCCTGAAGGTAGTACAATACGTCCCGAATCGGCGATCATAGTTTACACGATTCCAGATCTTAACGCCGCCTGACCCTAGATTTTCCAAGGGCTTTGAGTAGAACCCGAGAGGGCAGATGTGTGATTCGGGCCTAGGATCTATGTGAGAATATTCAGGACTCTTTGCTCTGGGCCTTACGTGGAGAACTTGGCATCGGCGCAAGATTCGATCGTGGGGACGCGCGTCGCCGCCATCACGGGTCGCGAGAGATTTTGGCTTCATGGGGGCTCGATGCGTTCGGTGTTCAGTGTGACTAGTTTTAGTGCGTTTTGCTGATGAATTCTGTTGGTCCGCGACGATGGGAGGCGAACGGAGATGGGATCGAGGAGCCTCCCGATTCGTTTCTGGTCCCAATCGAGGTCGTATCTCGTCCTCATGTACAAGCAAGCGGAAGGAAGTGGGAAGTAAAGGGTGTTTTTCAAAAAAGAAAAAAGAGAAGAAAAAACCGCGATATCGACCCGATATGCTCGCTCCTCTGCGTGAGATTCTAGGAGATGACCCAGACGACTCTCTGTCATTAACGTCTGCTGCTGTTATCAATCTTCCTCACCGAGCTCTGATAGACGCACACCGAAGCAGGCAGTCCAGGCAGCATCCAGGCGAGCCGCCCCTCTATTAATTTAATGTTACCTCTTCCCAGGCGACAGCGATAAGCCTCAACTGAGATCCAGTGTTTGATTTTGATCAGATCGATCTCGGCGCCACCAGACAGACGCTGCTTCGTAGACTGTCGAATTTGCTTTGTACAAGTACAGGAACACTACTTAGTGATCCATTAGCCAGTATTTTAATTGTAAGCGCTTGCAAATTCCGCTACATCATACCGCATGTGCGCTTCCACCGATTGCTCGTCTTGTTGATGTTTAATGTTGTTTTCCGTTGGCAGGTGCGAGTGTGGAACCAAAAGTTACCAAACATCCCCAAGTGTGTCAATCCTGTCAATCCTTCGAACCCAGTACAACAATACATTTGAATACATTGAGCATTGGACCATCCAACAGCACCAACAACAATACTACAATACTCCCCTTAATGCCGATACCCACAATCCTCTCTGTGCTTTGCCTCAACCACCCGTCCTTGCCTAATTTTGACCTTTCTTCTTTTCTTCCCTCTTTTTTTTTTTTTATTCTCTCTCCTCTTTCTCGCTCTTGTCTACCCCTACCAAAGTGGCCAAACTCTGTCCGACGCCTTGAGATACCAACACGTTCGTGGCGCGACCCCTCTCCTCTCCCGAGTCTCCCCTCCGCGACCACCATCGTACTTGTAAGACAATACGGCACAGCGCTGCACCGCGGGCATCGTCTCGATATATTGGCGAGGGCAGCTCTCGCCATCGCAACATGAAGACCATGAAGAAGAGCATGGGCATGAACAAGATGCTAGGGACGATCAAGCGCAGGGCCACCGCGGGTGTGTATTTCACTGTCAATCTAGACATCTAGACATTTCTGCACCCTAGTTATCAAACTCAACGGTTTGCAAGAGTGTAGCTGACTTAGGCTCAACCGTCTCCCATCGCAGGTATCGGCGGCGCCGAAGCTGTTTCAGGGCCTCAGGGAGACAGCCCCGAGGCCATGGCCTTCCAGGCAGTAGTACGCGCGATCCTCAAGCACTGCTCTCAGCCTCTTCCCCCGACGACATGAAAAACGAACGCATCACGACTGACTCTCTGCTCTGTGCAACCAACCTCTAGAAACAATTCTGTTCCGCAGGCAGCGACTCCGGTGTTGCAGTACGCCGACCCTTCCTTCTACTCCCCTTCCCCAAGTTCCCCTCAAGCCCCGTTGACTAACCGCCGGAAACCACCCGCAGGCGGGCGACGAAGTCCTCTACCTCCCCACCATCGTCGATGCCGCCGAATCCTCTCCCGCCGCCTCCGCCGAGTGCGCCAAGCTCATCCGCAAATTCCTCGCCCGCGAGAACATCTCACGTCCTTCTCTGCAGTACAACGCCATTATGCTGCTGCGCATCCTAACCGACAACCCCAACATAGCTACCTTTACGCGCAACTTTGACAAGAAGTTCGTCGACACCGCCAAAGACCTACTCAAGTACGCCAAGGACCCGAGCGTCCGCACCATTCTAGTGGAAACCCTCGATTCCTTCGAGTACACAAAGTCCTACGACGAGGGGCTCGCGCTACTTATTGAGATGTGGAAGAAGGAAAAGCCCAGAGTATACAAGAACTATGGCGTGCGTTGAACCACCCCATCCATACTCTTCCTTTTGCCTTTCGGGGTTGGGCTTTCCCAGCTTTTTTTGGATTTACCGCTAACGGGAAGGCCCTAGAATGCCATGCCCCCTCAACAGCTTACAGCCCGAACTCTGAACGCTCCTCCCTTCCAGCCCACGCCGTCCGACACATACTTTGCCTCGTCCCAGCCCTCCGCCCCACGCTCCTCCCGCCTCCCCGACGCCGTTCAACTCGCCGCACGGCTCGAAGAGGCCCAAACCTCGGCCAAGCTCCTCACACAAGTTGTCTCCAACACGCCGCCACAAGAAATACTCGACAACGACCTTGTCAAAGAGTTCGTGGGTCGCTGCCAGCGCGCGTCCCGCTCCATACAGGGCTACATGACGGCCGAGAACCCCGCACCCGACAACGACACGATGGAAAACCTCCTCGACACGAACGAGCAGCTCCAGACCGCCCTCAACACGCACCAGCGCGCCGTCCTGAGCGCAAGAAAGCAGCTCGGCATCTCGTCGAATAACTCTCCCTCCCATCCCGGGACCCCTAGTCCCGACCTACCCTTGGTATCGGGCGCGAATAACGGCACGGCGAACGGTAGTGGAAGTGGAAGCGGTGGCACCGGCAGCAGCAGGGCGCACGCATCCTCGTCGCGCGCGGAGGGCGTCCCACCTCCCCCACCGCCGCGAGACGGCGCCGGCAAGGGTAAGGGTGCCGTGACACCGTACGCTGCCTCGACGAACGACGACCCGCGAGACCCCTTTAGGGACCCTCAAGACGAACCCGCTGTAGGCCCCAGGCCTAAAGCCTCCATCTCGGGCGACGACCTCTTAAGACTCGGCTCCCTCGAGGTGGACTTTAACAAGTACGCGCTCTCTGGATCTGCGGGCGGTTCCGGCTCGAGCAATCGCGCGGGGAAGGAGCGTGAGACGGTTGATACGACGACGGACGACGATGACCTTTACGATTCGGCGCCGAGGCAAAAGCATAGTGCGGGGGGTAGCAGCTCCAGACCTTAGGGGCAGTCTGGGGAGCTCGGAGATGTGCGGAGGAGGAGGGTGAGCAGAGTGATACGTGGTAGGAAACTCATGTTTGGTTGACTTCTTTCCTTGCTATATGGTAGATTTAAGTGTGGGATTTATTTTCTCTTTTTTTTTTTTCGTTTAGGTTTTTTGGCTTCGATTTTGGGGATTGTAGAGTTTGTTCTTCATAATGGAAGCGAGTAGCACATTTCTTCGCCAGAGTCTTTTTACTTTGTTTGTTTTGTTCATGTTTGTTTTGACGGTTCAATGTCCTGTCCCGCGACTGGAAAGCCGCCATGGATCTGAGATGACGAGATCAGGATCCCAGCTGAGAGCGAGGGAGGAGAGGAGCCGCTCACTTCTACTTCTCCTTCATATCCTCCAAGAAAATAGGAGTAAATGATCAGTTCAGCATGCTATATCCCAAGCCTTCCTCCAAAGAACAATAAGATTGAAGCAAGATTGATGCTTCATTTCTGAAGAGAAAAACACCATGATCAGCTCACTCTCTTGACCACCCATGTCAAATCTCATCTCTCATCTGCCAAGCCCTGCCAGAATCTCTCTCCCCTTGAGCCACAATGCCGCTCTTGCATAAAACGGGAGGATCGGCACCGAATCCCGTTCTGCACAAAATCCAACCCCCCACAACTGCACAAAAGTAAAAAGCCCACCACCAGAAATCCTTGGCCCCCAAATGTCACGATGGTTCCCAGGTTCCAGTTGCAAGGGTTTGTCAAGCTAGGCTCCACTAGTTTACCAAAAGCTTGGATATAATAACTCGGTACATGGAGCGTTGCCAACTTCGGCTCAACTATTATAGCATTTTTGAGAAAGAAACTATATTCATTCTCAGTCTCAATAACTCTGGTGCACAAATGACAGCCAAAACTGAGAAACTTGCTCTTGGAGCACCAGAACACTCGGCCGAGGCAGTGGGGCTCTGTTAATAGAATCCAATCACGAGGGCCAGGGTGTGATTTCTGAAGAGAAGCAAAATGTGACCTGTCAACTAGACATAAAAGGCCCAAGGGTTGCTAAGATAGGCGGGTTTTTTCTTTCCTGGTAACTCGGCACGCACCTATACTGCTATTAGGTGGGCATATAGGGATCTGCGAGGGATGATGTATTTGATGGCGGACATGTGTTTGCTTGGCGCGAGGACTTGACTTGTCTGTGACTTTTATGCAACGCCGTGATAGGCAGGGGATTCACTATTTCTAGCCTTTGTGTGAGAACGAGAGAACGACGTGCGCTTAGCTTTGTATATACCCATATCGCACAGGCTTTCCCAATGGTCGAGAGTTTGGGGACCAAAGTCAGCCGCTAAGATGCGAGAGCTCTGGTTTCCTTCTCTCAAACCTGTAGAGGAAAGAGTCTCTCTCTTTATACTGCGTTTCGGCTTGTTATATCAGGTTAGATCGTTAGGGTTAGAGTCGACCAGAGTGGATATGGTTCGCTCATCGCTTGGCAACTCAATGCTGGTGTAACCAGCCGAGGTTACCAACCTCTCCTCTACCTTCGAAGATATTGCGAGGTTAGTAGTGGCCGGTGCTGGTAGGCTTGGGATCAGAAAAACGATTCTCTTGCTCGGGAAGGCCTTCATACCCGGGCTCTGGGCAAGGCGTCTCCGATCCGAAGCGCGATGTAGAGATAATGCGGTCCAAACAACACATCTTACCGTCAAAACTCCGTCCCTAATATGTACCAAGCTAAGGCTCTAGAGTGTCAAAACGGGCTTCTGGCGCAACGTAGCCACTCGGCCATCCAGGAGGAGCACACCACCGCCCCGGGCCGCGAGGAGCTACACGACGGCTCACATTTGCCACGCACGGATTCAAACGTAGATAGTGTTAGAATCCCCCATACTTGCGCAACAAGAATACTCAATTCCCAGGCCTAGCCAAAGAATGAAGAATGGAACGGCCGGCACTATCCATGCTCGCAACCCATGACTCTCAGCCCGCCGCCGACTTGTCACTACCACGATATATAGATGTATAACTATATATCTATTCGGCGCTGCCGGACAGCCGTGTTCAAGATATCTGGGCCTTAACCTCGCCTGTACCAGACCTGAACGACGACTTCTGATTCTGGCATTTCAGAAAACGAACTTGGGACCAACGTGAATCGACAAGTAAATACAAATGCCGTTCTCGATGGTATACATTGGATTAGTGTCCCTGAGGGCGTTGAACCACTTGGCTGCCGCACACCTGGTATCCTAAGACCCCGGACGGAATCAATAGAAGAAATACTTCCCACACTCGAGGTCCATGCATCGGAACTCTCCAAGCCCATGGATAGAGGTCGAAGAGGAGACCCCGACTAGAAGCAAGTCCCCTTCAACTAGTATTCTCAGAACCCAGCCTCCATTCCTTTGGTCTGCGTTGGGAAACAGGAAGAAGCGATCAAATCCAGCTCCCGCCACATCGTAGCCCCATCACCAAGGTATAGATCTGTGTCCACATAGACAACCAACACTTTAATGATCTCCTCAAAACGGCAGGTTGTTGCTATTCAACGATAGACGTGCTTCCGGCCAGGGCGGCGAAGGCAATGTAGTATCCACATCCCTGAAGGAAAAGTCGATCGGGTAGCAAGCATAATATCCACGTCGGCTAGAGCATCCCTTGTCTCTCCGAAGAAACGGCAAGGGACCCTCAGGAGGGGGGGAGCGCTTCGAAATCGAATCGTGTCCACGAAAACGGTCAACGATGGGCCACCTAGGCCTAGGGACGACAACACTTCACACATCCCAGACAGACAACGCTCCACTCGAAGCAACCTCACATGTGTAGAGACCGAAATGGCAAGAACTCTTGCCAATTCCCCTTGTCGATCCTCGGCTGTAGACGTCGACGCTCATACCTCGAATCCACAAGCGTTCACTAGCCTATGCGGCCCATTAGGCGGCCACCCTCCATCACGATGGCACCGTTGTAGGAAATTGTCGTGTATAATAAGGGCGAGTGCCTCCCCCCGATGGTTCGAGTCCGCGCTTGCTTCGTTCGTTCTCGTCTTCTTTTTTTTTTTTTTTTTGGCAACGTCGAGGCACGGGCACGTCTTGTCGAGAACCGCTTGCAACGCCGAAGGGATTCCATGGCCTAGTAACCATCGTTAAGGCCCGAGGAGCATTAGTCGCATCGAACTAGAAGGGTTTAAGTCAGTATCGGCCGGCTACTGGATATCAGCATGCTTTAGGAATTCCATCCTGGGTCCTATCTGATGGGCTTGTTGAAGGGGATCTCGCTTGATGATGGAAGGAGGGGACGGAATCGAAGTCGGATTTGCGAAAGGCTTCGTCTGAGGGCCTCGTTCTCTCGAAACAGCGGACATGGAAAACACTTGGATTCCATCTCGATATGGACTCTCTACATCGGAAGAGACGTCAGGACAGCATCATTCAAAGGCGGATCAAGATGAACACAAACAAACCGACAAAACAGCAAAGGAAACCGAGCTTGAATTAGGGGAAATTTAGAGCACAAAGGCAAACTTTTCGCGCAATGACAAGACACGAGCAAAACCCTCAAGAGCACCGAAACGAGCTCCAAGACACTAAATTACCTTCCTTCCCCCAAATCTTGTCCGGTGCTAACATTGAACTTTGAGTCAACAGTGAAGATTTCAATTAACCCAAGGCCCGAGCCGAAGAAAAAAGTGTCTAAGACACAGAAAAGAGACCGCCCAGTATCACGGAGGCGGAACAAAACGGATCTAGACAGAGCCGGACACAACCACGAAAATGCGCCATAATCTCGGCAAGGAATCCCATTCATCTTCGTACCCACGAGCTCTTCCTCGATGATCAACGAGCACCGAGGAGAAGGAGAAAAGAAAATGAGCAAAAATAGGGGGCTATTGGCCTCGCATGACGGAAAAGTACGATTCTAATCCCCTTCTGGCCGGATAAGTGCTCAAATCATCCAAGGAGGCAACAGAGTTCGACTAAGACAGTCACGAAAGCGTCACCGGACTTCACCGGGCGCCCGGGAACCACCAAGTAAATGATCCCCCCCTATACCCCCCCTTCCTCTTCCGTCTCATCTCCCGAAAGAAAGGGAGAACGAGGAGAATACCCACTAAATTAGGGCGCCCCCTGAAGAGAATAGAGTAAGTCCGCGTGTTTTCCAGCAACTTGGATAACACTTTCAGAGACCAAAAGGAAAAAGGGTGAAAAAGGATAACGCCAGAGTGGAGAACTCGAGTGTTCCGGATATAGATTTCGTCGAACATTGGGAAACCACGGAGGAAGAGTCGGTGTCCCAAGAGCTGCGGGCGAGTTTTCGCCGTTGAGGATGGTTGTGGGGAAACTCAGTCTTCGGTCGAAGAACATCTCCACCAAAGCCAAGGAAGGTCACCGATGAATGCAGACGAAGTTTGACAAACTCGGAGACACACCCCCCCTCAGGCCACAGTGGCTCTCAGAGCAAGAGACGGAAGATGAAGCCCGTTCACCGAGCCGTGTCTAGCGTCGAAATGGGGATCACCTTGGCTCTTCCCTTCCCTTAAAGGCGAGTCGGTGAGTGGGAAACTCGGATCAAACCATTGGCTGTACCAATGTGGTTTCTCGCTTCTCGTTCCATATCCCCCACATGACAGGAACGCAAGCGCCGCCTCATTTCCAAGCATGACCGGACTCTCTCCCTTCAATATCTCTACGAATGGCTCGGTCACTTGTGCTCGTCCCGTTCAAACCGCCGAGAGAAGAGGATAGGTCCCGTCGAGGATAAAACGTGTGACGGCTTAAACAACTCGGTCTTGGTCGGCCAAAGGCAAAACCAAGGAAAATGCTCCTAGTCACGGATAGCATGGATATCCCTCCCACCTCCATCCACACACCGCTTCCTCCTTTCCCCAATCTCGTCACTTGCATCACTTGCAGAATAAGATGTAACGAAGCTAAGAGCTGAAAAAGAAGCAATCCAAAATTTGATCTTGTCAGTTGGACCGAACGCAAGCGCTAGACGGATGCAGATTCCTCTTCGCGGAAGATGTCTTGCCTTTCCGGCAACTCGCCTCTTGCCCCTCCTCCTCTTCACTGTCACCGCCACTATTCCATCCTCAAGTCCAGTCACATCTTACCTCACGCCCCCTCCTTCATCTTCTTCCCTTTTTCCACTCGAGAGATCTAAATGGCGCTCTAGATCGTAGGGAGACAGCCGGGTCTAGTCGCCGAGAACTCTATTGCAGATCCCCTCGCCTATCACACGCCGAGCAGGCTCGAAGAGCGGCTTTCTTCTTCCTTACCGCCCCCTTCCGAGCTTTGCTAGTTTCCTTCGGTACTAGATACACCCGGCGTCCTTAGTTGTGTTCTTGCCTCGTGTTCGTTGGGCTCTTTTTCTTTTTCGTTGTTCTTGTTCTTTTTTTTCGTTTTGTCTCTCCGCTTTTCGTATTTCACACCCACAGCGGCCCCTCCTCCCCCTTTCTCTTCAGGGCGCCAACCCTGTACCACTAGAGACTCAACCGATCCATCCCTGTGAGCGGTAGTGTAGGGGAGAGTAGTTCAGTGTCCACTAACACTAGCTCGAGGGCATCTTGTAGGTCGAAGTCTCAATACATTCACTTGCAACGGCGAGTGGCTTTTGGTTCAAATACGTACGTACGAAGTAGCAGACAAGGCGGATACACTCTACGAATCCCTGTCCAATCCTTCCCGGGTTCTGCGGTACCCCCCAGTGTCCTGTCCGTGTTGCTGGAAACAGGCCCCCCTCCCCCCTCCCTTTTCTGCCAAGAAGTCTTTTGCAAATCACTCACTCATCTTCACCCTTTCGTTATCCGGTACTTGCCCAGGGCATGATCCTCGATTTCGACTCTGAGATCGCAAGGGAGCGTCAGAATAGGCCTTAGTCCGGACCCAAGGTACAATTAAATAACCAAACTCGGGTCCAACTTCAGCGAGTTACGGGCTTAGAACAGACAGGTTTTACACACGCCCCCCGTGCCGTTCATTCTTTACAGCCCCCTTCCAGCGACTCCCAAACACAAGATATACCTCCATCATATTTAGTAGCTATTCCCTCTCCCTTAGCACGCCAACCCAACCCACAACGAGCTGGCAACCTCGGCGGCGATCCTTGGGCAAAACGTAAACACGGGTATCGGGTGTATCCAGGTCCGCCCATACAAGGCGGACTAATTTACAATTCACCGCAAGGTGGCAGGCTGCCCTTTGGTCCCCCATTTCCGTTCTAACTTGCCTTGTTGTAGAGCCCGTGGTGTTCCGCACGAATGGTACAGCGAAGTCAACTACTTTCGACCCAATGGTCTCTCTCCACCCTTGGACGCTACAATATCACCACACCCCCTCCCCTTCTCCCCTCAATATGTGTTCTCCTTCGTACTTCATACTTGTGTCCTTCCTTCGCTAGTATGAACAAATACACAGGACCCGGGGGCACCCCCCTAACTCGGATCATCTCACTTGTGCCGGCTCGCTCCACGAAGGACGCTAGTCCCATCGACGGCACCTTGAGGCCCTTGGGGCCAGAACTCTCGGCTCTGTTCCCCCCCCCCCCCCAACCCCGAACTTGTTTCAATACCCCCCCTCCCTTTTCCTTTCTCTCTCCCTTTCTAATCTCTCGACAGTCCATAGTCACTACCTGCCCGCCATCAAAGACCGCCCTGCTCATCACGGACTCGCACCAAGATCTGTCCCCACATCCCCGAATCGGCCAAGGCACCCAGATCCCCAGAGTCCAGAGAGATCCTGGGTAACCATAGCCCTCCATCACACTTCCTTCTCCCCCAAAGCCAACCACCAAACATCACGGACAAATAAACGCCCCCATTCCCCCGTTCCTCTCTTTCTCCCACCCTTCCTCGGAATATGTATGTAGTATAGTTCCCCGAAAGTAAACAGTGCCACCCCCAAAGAACCAAGAAAAGCTACAACCTCCGCTAGCGCCCTCCCTAGTCCCAAGGGTCCAGCCGCTCTTCATTAGCCTAGCCCACTACTGTCATTTAATGCATCCCCGAGAAAAGAACGGCCTCATCAAAACAGAGGGTTTCTTGTACCCGATACCGCTGGGTCCAATCCCCCTCTTCCCTTCCCCTAAAATGCCGTCCTAACCTCAAAGGAAACTATGCTACCGCCTATCCCAAGTGTCCACTACACTAACACCACTAAGAAGAAACGGAGAAGAGGAGAAAAAGAGAGAGTTCCCACTTATCATACTTCGTAACGGACTAGACCCGGCCTACCGTCACCGCCCACAACGGACCGCACCCTGCCTGCTTGGGAAGGAGGGAAATAAAACAAAATCCCACGCCTTTGGTCAACTATTTTTTTTTCTTTTATTACCTTTCGGCTTTTCTTTCCCTAAAACGGCGGTAGCGCGATATTAGTTCTCTCTCTTTAGTGTACCGGCGCAAGGAAAAAGAAAAAAATCTTTGTGTTGGAATAGGAAAATACCTGAGTGGTTCCTCGACACGTGCTACTAGCTTAATGCGTGCCACTGCATGTATTTTGGTATATCGAACAAGGAGGCAGGCAAACTGACGGGGCGCCAAACGCTGTCATTGGGGCGAGAGAGAGCCCTGGGCTTGTTGCCCTCACCCTTCTTCACCCCCCACCACTTCGTTTACTGGCTGGGCTTTAATCCTGGGACCGGTCCTGTCCGTGACAAAAATGTAACTGCTCCCCCGCCCCAAATTACGAAGCGAAGTATAGTACGACATCACTGTAACACTTTCCCGCCTCCTTCCCCCCCGGGCCGTTTTCTTCCCTCCCTTTCTCTCTCTCCCCCCTCAAAGCACCGTCCTCACCCATCTCCAATGAGAAAGAGAGAAACCGGGAAGCGGGGGGCTAGAGGGGCTTCTTCCCCTAGTGGGTATTGGAAACAATAGGGAAGCAAAAAAACCACATGGTCCGACATCCGGCTAGTACTTCGTAGTAAAGTTGCGCAACCCCCCGTAGCGCACGCATCCTTTACACTAGCCTGGAAAGGTCGGGATCCCGCAGCCTAGGGAGATCGTTTTCATGGCCCAGGGGAAAGGGATGGGAAGCTACACTACGTTAGGCGGTCCGATGAGCCCTTTTGCCCCCTTAATACACTAGAGCCTTGTCCCAAACCTGTTGATCGGTACCGTACAGTGAAGCGCCGAGAAAAAAGAGGCGTTTAAAGTGAATGCCCAACCAATGCCGGGACAGGAATCACCCGCCAATCTACTTTCTATTATTACTCCCTTAGCCTCCTATTTTTGGGGGCCGAAACTGGAGAGGAAAGCAATGTGGATGGATGACAAGGCCAAAAACTATCGAAAGCCATCTTGGAAAGAAGCAATGTTTTGTCGTCGTGCATGGCCCGTACGTAATCCGGATGTAAACTACGAAGTACCGAGACGCCAGGCGGAGTCGTTAATCGCCCCATCGTCGACGTGGCCATTGCTGCTGGATACAACACAACCCGCCAGACGCTGCAGTTCAGTACCGTATGTCCTGCTGACTCGGGCAGAAAAAACTGGAACAAATACGTGGTCCTGGGTTTTCACGGCAACTATGTTGTCAGAAGAGTGACCATCTTTGCAAGCAACATCAAGATGTAAAACTAGATAACAACCACACAATAAAATTACAATCAAGTACAGATTGGCCTTAACAGACGGCGTATATCGCCAAAAATGCGTCTGGAGAAAATGAACATCAGGAAGCCCTTCTAAAGTTCTCTGGAGCACAAGTGAAAAGAGTCGCCCAGGTGTGGTGCGGGTGGGAGGGTAAGGCAAGGCATGTACATACATACATACATACATACATGCATGCCGGCATACATAGAGGAGAGGGGAGATTCGAGGCTCGTCAGCAAGAAACGCAGCAAGCGGCCAAGTTCCGTCCTTTCCTGGAACTGCTTGGCTGTGCCTTGTTTGCTTAAACTTCTTCACCTGGCTTTCCCTGTTCACCCCGCCCATATCGACCACATGGTTCGCTAGCCCCAAGGGCGCCCGTTTTCACCGATCCCCCTGAAGGGCCCACGGACAATGACAGCAGAAAACGATCAACATTGCCTGGCCATCTCCACTCCTCCAAGGTGCACAGTGCATCAGACCCTCGACCAATGACCCAGAGACAACAGAGACAAAACTCCAGCTTTAGCGGCTAACTTATGATCAAAACAAGTAGATTCATTCATGTCAGAAGTATTTCGGGTACCAATAATAAGATGATAGAAGTAGATATAACAGAATAAAAAAGAAAAGGCAGAATCAACCGCGCATACAAACTCGGTGCCGTGAGGCAGACAAATCTTCCCGTTTTAATGTTGCCCTGGGTTGACATAAGAGACTGGAGTGAATTTGAGAATCATAATCAGAGCTGGACAAGAAAAATAAAAAGGAAATGGAAAAACATAAAACCAGACTGAAAATATGACCCGACATACGTAAACATAAAGATGTGCGGCGAAAGGAAAAAGAGCTCCAGGGCAATAAAATAAAAGCAAAGAAACTGAAATCACTTTGCCTCCGTGCGTCAAAGTCATAGAGAGAAGGGATAAACACGATCCCTCCCCGACCCAAATTCCCCCCTGCTGCAGCTGCGCTTTCCTGGGGATTTTTTTTTTTTGGTTGGAATATTCCATCTCATCATCGTCGTTTGTTGCCAAACTTCGCGTCCTTCTATCCCCGACTAGAAGAGGGGGGAACTCATTTCAACTCCGAAAGCAGAAACCATACACTGAAAAAGCAAGAGTCACGGGTGAGGTTCCTCAAGCACGAAAGGACTGTTCCGCCGGTATCTCGCTCGAACCAAAGTAAAAGAAAAGAAAAGCGGGAGACAAAAAAAAAAAAGAAAAGGAAAAAGGGCCCCAAGTTCGAAACAACGCAAGACGGCTAATGAGTAAATGCAGTCCAGCAGAGAATAGCAACCAGGGGTATCTTTCCATTATACCAGCTCCTCTCGTACATAGCAATCACCTTGATTAACATCCCTCTCTGTCTCTCGTTCTCTCTCGCATTCGGTCTCAGAATAGGAAAGTCGTCGGTTCTCGTGTGGTTTAACGCGCGCCCCGGTCGAGTCGACCAAGCATGTTCCGGTCCATATCATGGCCCGGCGAGTCTCCAAGGATACTCCTCACGCTCATGACCGAAGAATGTCCACCGGCTGAAAGCGGCGAAAGCGCCTTCGCTTGCGGTGTCGGTGTGGTGCCGTTGGTCGAGTTACCGTTGTGACCGTTCGGCGCACTCGTGTGCGATGTAGCGGGCGATCGTTGAGGTGGTGTCGGTCCGGTAGAGGACACGGGAGGAGTATGCGTGCCGGCCGAGCTACCAGGTGGTGCAGGGAGTGGACCTTGCGAAGGGTAGTATTGACTCCTGGGGCTGTTGCTGCCAGACACAGGAGATCGTCGCCAAGGTTCCTCTTCTTGACCGTTAGGGGGCGGGAGTCGCCGCTCATGGCCCTCTTCGGATTCTCGCCTTCGACGCCTTCCACTCGCAGAAGTAGCATCCGACTCGGCATAAGGAGAATGCATATCGGTTGGTGAACGGACTGGTGGTGGGTAGTAGGGTGGCTGATTCTGCACAGCCGGCGCAGGCGGATAGGGCGCTCCCTGTGGCGCTCCAGCTGGTGGAGGACCGGGAGGCGGCGGTTGTTGACCAGTGGGAGGAGGATGCGCGCCAGGCCCTTGAGGCAAAGGTTGGCCGTAAGCACCGTAAAGTGGTGTCCCTGGGGCGATACCGCCTTGAACAGCAGAAACGTGGACAAACGCGGCAGAGCTACTGGAAGAAACAGGCTGGAAGATACACTCCTGATTCATTCTCGTGCAGTTTACGCATCGGCCGCCAGGGGCGTTCTGGTAACCACTGCATCGAATCTGAACAAAACGCATCAGTATACGATTCGAGTCAAAAACAACTTACGCCCCCTGTTTTTCCGCGCAAACCAAGGACAACAACCCACCTTTCGCTTTCGACAGTACCGGCACGCAATCGAGGTTCGCTGCCTCGGAGCAGCTTGCTGCATTTGAGGGGCCTGCGGGGGCGGGGGACCTTGCTGATAAGGAGGATACCCGTTTCTGCCGTTGACATAATCAGGCTCGTAGGGACCTCGAGGAGGATAGTTGGGATCATGCCTTGGCGGCCCATGGTCACGGCGGTAGTCGTCGTGCGGAGGCGGCTGACCTCGTCCGTAATCTCTCGAGTAGTCGGGTGGAGGATGGCTGCGGTAGCCGGAATAATACGGATCGCGGTCATAAGGCGGTCGCTGCTGGTAGTAGTCGTCCCTGCGGTCACCTTGGCTAGGATAGCTCGGAGATCGAGTATCTTGATGGGGAGGCTGGAGAGGCGGTAGTGAGGAGGGGGGACCACTCTGGTGAGATGGATAGCCATTCGCGCCCTGAGGCGGAGGCGGCGGCGGACCTTGGCTGTAGCCGTTGGTTGGCGCTGGGAGAGGACTATTGTAGCTCTGATGCGAAGGGTACCCGCTTCCTGGGTCTCGGATCGGAGGCAACGTCACAGGCGGCTGGGAAGACTGATGATGCCTCGAGCGGTCATCACCACCAGCTGGCGGGGGGTACTGGTTGCGGGGAGAGCCGCCTTCCATTCCATGATGGGGAGGGTACTGGTTCCTCGGGGATTCCCTGCCTTGATCACGCTGCGCCATGGTTGCGGAGGTAAAGTGTGGCATTGATTCTTCTGAGGAGCCGGCCTAGGTGAGGATTTGAGGTCGGCTCTGCTTGCAGGTTCTCCAACGCTCGACACTGTGGCAGTACAGGCTCGGGCCGTGGGCTGAGACTTTTAAGGACAGTATTCCCTGGGCACCGGATTTGAGGGTATCTGGTCGACTGAGAATCCCGCCTCAGCTATTAGTTAGACGACGCGCAAATGTCTAGGCGAGATTGCGGTATGGTGGTCAAGATTTTCTTTTCTTCTTTTTCTCTCTTCCTTCTCCAGATTTCAAGAACCAATGCGGTACAAGGTGCTGCTGCTCTCTGGAGATTAAAAAAAAAAAAGGAGTTTTGAAGAGGGAGTGTGGCGCAAAGCAATGTGCACTGGAGAGAGGTGGAAGGAGTTGAGGTCCAGATGTGGAGACTCACAGCTAGGACAAGGACGATGATGGACAATCGGATGAGTGCAACATGAAAGGCGAGGTAAAGGAGGGAATTAAAAAAAGGGAAGGGTGGATGCGGCTGCAAGAAGGAGGGAAATAAGAGGACGACGATTAACTTGCAAGAAGAACCGACAACCAGGCCACTCGATGACGAGACTGACAAGACTCCAAAAAAGGATAAAAGGAAGTACTAGGTGAAATGGCAGCGGGAGGGTGGGAAGGTTATTTATTAAGACGAAAAGGACCCCCTTGACCTTGGGTGGGATGGGGGAAGAACGAGGGAAGGTTTGGGCCCCAGAAGCGGTGGCGGAGAAAATAATACCACGGCTGTGGTATTTCGGCTTGATGGGGGGGATGGGGGTGGACAAGGTCTCGTGTGTATCGACAGGGGTACGGGAGGATGGGAAGGGGGTGTACAATACAGGATTGTGCAGAGACACCCATGGGCATGGTGGAAGGGTGGAGACTTGGAGAGGACTGGGACGCTGGAAAAGGGAAGGGTCGAAGGTGAAAGGTGAGGTGTAGTGTACTTCGTACTAGTCACTAGTACGGAGTAACATTGGGTCGGTCCGGGGGGGGTGAGCTTCGATCAAATGTCGACTAGGGTAAAGGTACGCGGTACTTTGCAGCGGGAACACCCCTCTTTGGGCTGACCGCTGGAAAGTGACCAGTGGTTTGAAGGAAACGAACTCTCCTGCTAAACTACTTCGTGCTTGGTAGCGTACTCTACACTACTTGCTTCGTACACTAGTACGACGGGACCAGTCTGGGAAAGGCTGTCTGTTAAGCATGCATGGCTGCTACTATACTTGCACGTATTACCGCTGCTACTTCGCTTCGTACTTCGGGGCTTCTCGTGCTGGCACTGGCCTGACACTGGGCAGTGGGGTAAATAGCAAGGGGGCGGAAGGGAGAATGGGAAAAGTCAAGTAGAACTACCTACATAGGCTACATACTACCTGTGAAGTCAAGTGTGCAGAATGCAATGTCCCTCATATACGTCAGACCAACCATCCACCCGTGCTGCAGACTGTTATAGTGCGCGCTGACCTGACCCGGGCAGGAACGGCAGATGGGAGCGGCCCAGAAAGCTGGAATGCGGTGATCGGGGTCTAGCGCAGACCACGGGGCTAGTCTGACATCGTCGATGTAGTGGCATTCCATCGATTAACTCTACTCGAACCGGAACTGGCACATGCTCCGCTCGTATCCTGGGCGCACTCCAGTGATTGATGGACTCCCCTTGGCACTCTCGAGGCTCGGGTTTCCTCCGCTTTCGTGAGAATAACAATGGCATTTTTGCCCCTCTGGTACGCGCATGACACGGGGATTGAAAAAGACGGAGGATAAAGATCAATACCAATGACAGAAAATGGAAAATGAATACGGTAATCAAAGAAGAAAAAAAAAAAAAAAAAAAAAAAAAAAAAAAAGACAGAACAAAATAAAAAAGAAAAAGAAGTGGAAGAGTAATGTTAAAAAACTTCATCAGATGTCGGCTTGAATGGCTTCAGTAATTGTCGGCCTGTCTGTCCCTCTTTGGGCCTCGTTCCAAGAACTACATATTGCATCCCAGCCGTTCGTGATCTAATTTCATTAATTTACTGGGCCGGAAAGGGACGGTTGAGAAATCGCACGCCTGCGGCTGGACGCGGAAGGGAGGACACGCAAGGAAGAGGGAGGGAGGGAAGGAAGGAAGGCAAAGGGAAAGGGAAACAAGACAAAGTGTCGGTGCGGAGTCACGAAGATGCATGATTTTAGAGAAAAGAACTACCCGCGCGACTTTCCGGTCATAGGAAGAAGCAAATAACCAACAACGGAATCTTGCGCGAGGGAGGGAAGTGCAACCGACGGCGAGTGCCTCACACAGCAATCCGCAGCAAACTTCTGGTTTGCTGACGCAGACGCAGAAGGGAAGGAGCCCAAGAGCCATCGACTCGGTGAGCGGAGCTTAGAAGTTAACCTCGCATTCGAGGCGGGGACGAGTAGGAAAAGGTGAGGAAGAAGAAGAAGGAAGGAGCTATCAAGTAAGATCAAGGTGCACTCATCCTCGAATGATTATCGGGCACCAAGAGCGGAAACGACGATGGATGCTGGCAGGGAAGGTGAGACGAGGGGAAAGAGAGACATGGCGGACATGGGGGGTGAGACACTTGACATGCGGCGTCGTGTTGGCGTCCGTCTGTGTCAACGTCCTGGAACACTGGCGTATTCCTCCGTCGGTCTGGTCAATTAGTGGCAGGGATTTGGAACTTGATCTAAGGCTTTACTTTTTATTTTACACCGTCCTCACTATCGTTGTTTAGGCCTCAAAAATATTATTTACTTCCTCTTCTTCTCAATTCATCGGTCACATCATCGGTGATTCCATGCAAAAGCCCAAGAAGCAATGAACCTGTGACCAGCGGGGAATAACTCGCTCCATGCGATATGACGCTGCCGATTGGAGCCCCAGCGACGTTTGAAGTGCTGGACCGGCTGGAGTGCGCAGTTTTTAGTGTCTATTGTACAGTAGCGTCCTGGAACTCCAAGTATTTAGCCAACCAACAAGTTAAGATGGGTGGAGTTCCCAGATGAGAACTTGGAACAGTGCAACCGGGGTTGCAGTGGGACTGCGCCTAGTCCCGCCCCCCTAGACAGGGTCGCACAGTTGGCTTTGGTCACAGGATGGGTCACATACAGAATCCGAGGAAGAAGAGCAAGCTGGCGATTTGGGTCGATTTGGACTGGGAACAAGCCCATTTAGGCCTTCAAAGTCAACACGGCGTCCTGATATGATGAGGATGACACACACTTTAGAAAATAGAGCAAGAAAAAAAAAGATGGGCAAGGATGATATTGTGCGACGAAGCGAAGCGAAAAAGATTAAACTGCTTTGCGCCGCAACGGCGCTCATGAGCGACGAAAAATACGCATTGGTTGATAGGATCTGCGCCAAGATATCGGTCTCTCTTGTTTTTGAAGCAAACTTCGCCCAGAAAACCAACGAATATGTAGGGAGAATGGCAAGGCACCTATCCAGAACATGAGGGATGAATCTTGCTGTCTCACGCAATAACACGACCACCCGCGAGCAAACGATGACGTATGATCCCACGTTCCCTGTTTGTCCTTGTAGCAAGCATGAGCAATAGGTAGTGTACCCAATGGGTTCAAATCGATTGATCTCTTGGGCCTTGAGGTTTCAGTGGGGAATTCTGTACCCCAAATGTGAGACTGAGGGATAGACAAAAAAGAAAAGGTAAAGACCACTCTCCCCCATGCCCATGTTCCTCCAAGCTTTCGTCTTCCGACCGCATTCTGCCCTGGATCACTTCGTGATTAGCTGGAGGATCAGCAGGCCCACCCCTCCTCTCCATACTTTATCTTCCTCGGTTCCAAGCTAGATCTCCCCCATCAGCAAGGGCCAGGGTGACGAGCAAGTTTCACGGGCCCCCTCCCTCCAGCATGACCCTAAAAGGATTTCTCTTAGTTTAAAAAGTCCGAAAAGACGGTCAGACTGTCGAAGGAGGGACTGAATAACGCAAGAGGGTTGGCTGGGCTAATTCGTCCCAGCAAAAAGGTCAAGTGGGAATTTTTGATGGATCCCCGGGTGACGGGAGTTGCCCGACCATGCCCGTGATTGGTTAGGCGGCGTGTTTGGCGCGGCGGTACCGGCGGGTTGGGAATCCATCGCGATTGGACATTGGCTCTTCCAATGCCTATTTGAGGAGCCCGTTCCTTTTTCGAGAGCGGAAAAAGGACTTTGCTGGACTCAACCGAAGTCCCGAGGGCACTGATGTGGGGATTTGGGGAAAAAGGGGACTCGTCACTGTCACCCATATGAAGTGGGAAAGTTCGTGTGTGTGTGTGTGAGTCTGTGATTTGTGTGTTTTTCTGTCTTGGAAAACGGTCGCCGAGCTAAGACAGAGGAGGGTTTTGGCCAACCAACCAGGGATGGAAGTTTGAATCTCGCCTGGTTCTATGTTTTCTTTTCACATTTCTTTTTTCTTGTGATCCTCTTATGTTAGACACGGGATGAGAATGGTTCGTAATCTGCTCTTGTAGCCCGTATTCACCGACACAAAAGTCGGATTTGTCCTCTAACATGGTATAGGATGGTGTCGACAAGGAAATACCACATTTTCTACAGTTGACAAGGCCAAAGCCTAAGAGGTACATGAAAGACTGACAGAAACATGCACGCCATATTCCAGAGGAAGCCTTTGGTGACCACCCATGTCATCTTACTGCAAAGAAGGCTACGCTTCCTGAGGCTTAGCTAGTGACTCCCATGCAAGCTGGACGTTAACCAATATCGGCGGGACGGCGGGGGCATCCAATAGTTGGATAGAAACGAAACCCTGTAGAGCTTAAGAGTTGTCGAACTATCACCAAAGGCCATGCATATAAATTCCGCACTCGTCCCAAGCCAGCGACGAGTGGAGCGCCCAGCGGGAAGCCTTCGGTATTAGGGGATCCCCGAAGAGCAAGACACGAACCCGGTGGGTCACTTGAAGACGGAAGGGAAAAAAAAGCAAAGAAAATACCCATCATACGAGAAGAGCCATGCG